GTGCTGATGATGAGAGTGTCATTTGGTACAACCGTTATGAAGACATTTAGGTAGTTAGCTCTCAAAATTATAAATGTGTATGCCCTTTGACCCAGTAATGCCACTTTTGGGAAATGGTCTTACAGTTATGCGTGTGCACTTTCAAAATGATGTATGTGTAAAGGAATTCACTGCAGCCTCATTTGTTGGAAACAAATCAAATGTCCCTCACTGGGGGTTTGGTTAAATAAATTACACAGTGGATTCTTAACCAAGGGTAAAAAAGGAGAAAGAAGTTCTCTATATTATAGAGATTATAGAAAGAGCTCCATACTTTTAGGTGAAAGAAATTAAGTGAAGAATAGTGGGTATAATACATCACATTTTATGAATAAAGATGGGAGAGGGAAATAATATTTGTAATGTATAAAGAAACTTCAGAAGAATATATTAAAAAAAACCCTAATAAAAATTTTTATCCATAGATGTGATTGTACTGAGCAGATGGTGAGGCTGGGGTGGGAGGTGGACTTTTCACTGTGTGCATTTTTCAAATGTTTTCAGTTTTATGAATATTCCATTACAATTAGCTGTATGTAATCAGGCCCAACCAAAGACTTACCAAGCATGCAATGTTAAGCTCTAGAGGCAACACAAAGACATACAAGACTCGGTCCAGAGACTCTGCACTTGAACCAAAGAAATCCCATTTATATAATACTCGTATGCAAGAAAAGCCTCTAATACTTACTTTAATGTTAATGATTTTTGTTCTTCAATTACAAAGCAGAAGTATTCAGGACTGAAATATCACTGTGTGAAAATATTGGTTGATAACTAAAGGTATTTCTGCTACACAAAGGTCAATTCACATAACTGTGAAATTCAAGCCTCATCCTATTTATTATCTAGGCAGTGGACTCCAAGCAGCTAGTGAGAGTTCAGAGAAGAACAAACACACGATTACAGCTGTCAGTGGAAATGTACACATGAAAGTAGCAATGAATTCGTCAATAATTACCATCTATTTACTCTGTCCACATTGGTGTTTTGGAGAAGGAAATGGCAACTCACTCCAGTACTCCTGCCTAGAGAATCCCATGGACAGAGGAGCCTGGTGGGCTGCTGTCCACAGGGTCCCACCGAGTTGGACACGACTGAAGCGACTTAGCATGCATGCATGCATTAGAGAAGGAAATGGCAACCCACTCCAGTGTTCTTGCCTGGAGAATCCCAAGGATAGAGGAGCCTGGCGGGCTGCCGTCTATGGGGTCACACAGAGTCGGACACAACTGAAGCGACTTAGCAGCAGCAGCAGCAGCATTGGTGTTTAAGCTATAAAACCTCTGGAAGAAGTCTGCAAGAAATGGGTGGCATTTTTATCAGGAAAGAGTGGGACAGTAATCACACCGAGAAGCAGGGGGCTGGCATGGGGAGGAAGGTTCTATGCCAAAGGCCTGGAAACTTGAGTTCTATTAATGCCTGTGAAGTCATCAAAATCTTTGTGTTCAGATTCATCAGCTCCAGTGGCACTGAGGAGAACAAAAATTGTTCTAATATGTAGAACATGCTCACATGAACACAAGAAATTCCAAACTCAATCTGTCTAGTTATCCTTTTGGAAAGAAAAGCCTCTTTCCTCACCCATTTCAGGGCACTCAGTAAAAATCTATGTGTGATGACTACCACGTAAGTAGTAGTAGTGTTCTGCACTTTGAGTAGCACTGGGTAATTATTTACATCAGAGCCAGTCTCCACACTGCCCCTCCAACCCCGTCCCCTCCCCACCCCCAACCATCTCTTTTCCTAGTGAGTCATTTTTGGGGGTGATGAAAAGCAGCTCAGGGGGATTCGGTGTCTCACGCATCACAGCAAACATCTCCATGTGATCGACAGAATGGGTTATTCCTATTCAGCCTAACAGCTACCTAACCAGCAGTAACTATCTGATTCATTGGAGCCCAGAAAACATGTGCCTCCATATTTTAGTGTCACAGAATTTTCGAGCTGTAAGAGATCTCGGAGGTAACCTAGTCCAACCCATTATTTAATGATTCTTCTGCTTCCAGGTTAATACTACCTTATATATAATAGTTCTTAAACCAGTTACAGAAAATTGTTAAGGAGAACTATCCAAACACAGATCCAGTCTGCAGTCGATTTGATGTTTTAGCTTTAACTCATGGTGGCTTCCCTGGTGGCTGGGACAGTAAAGAATGTGCTGCAATGCAGGAGACCCAGATTCAAACCCTGGGTCAGGAAGATCCCCTGGAGAAGGGAATGGCTACCCACTTCAGTATTCTTGCCTGGAGAATTCCATGGAAAGAGAAGCCTGGTGGACTAGAGTCCATGGGGTCGCAAGGAGTCGGACATGACTGAGAGACTAACACACCCACCCAGCTTTAACTCATGATATTGTGAATTTTAAAATAATCTCATGATATAAAGATTATCTGGAAAAAAAAAAAAAAGATTATCTGTATCTCTATGGGAGGCCACTGGAAACTTCTCTATATCGATGTAGCTGCTGAAGATACCTCTAAGGCTACATGTCTTCCAAATATTCATACTTTAAACCTGGAAGCAAATATAACTTCATATTTCACTGATTCTTATTTAGGGATAAATAAATATTTTACTCATGCTAGTATACGAGGTGAATATTATATTTATTACATATTTCATTTAGGGATTATAATAAACTCTATTATAATATTAAATTTACATAGTAGAAACTCAATTATACTTTCATGTGTTTCTTTTGTTGTTTGCACAGTGAATGATCATAAACCTAATGGGAATCCAGAATAATGTGAGACAAAAAGAGGTTTAAATCAAGTTGTCACAAACAGATTTAAGGAGGAAAAGAAGTCAAATTATGGAATGAGAGTACCTGAGTTCAAAGCTCAGCTCTGACCCTCAAGGAGCCCCACAAGTTGGGCAAATCACTCTTTTCTGTAAAATGGGAACAGTCATAAAACTTAGTCAAAGCATTGCTATAAGGATTAAATGTAATCATTCAACAATCATGTGCCAAGCATTCTTAAGCACTGGGGGTACAGTGAATAAACAAATGTGCCAGACATTTAATAAACTTGAACTGTTTTAATCTAAAAGCATATACGCACAGGCTTCGGGTTGTATACAGAATTTAAAGAAGTTTTGAGCTGCAGAAACAGGAATGAATTATTTATGGGGCCTCCAACTCCATGGAGTTGAAAAGTTGATGAACATACAATAGTATCCAATTACAAAGGAATACTGTCTGAGGATCAGATGCAAAATACACCTGTTGATTGATTCAATACATGCATCAAGCAATTTATTAATTAATTTTCTATGCACAAAAGCTGGTTGTCAATTGTTTTAACATTTCTTTCAGAACAACATCCGTAAAAACTTGGAAGTGCAATGAAAGCATGAATAAAAAAAATGAAACAGTGTGACTCATGTGGATAGTTATTTATATTGGTGATAAAATGTTTATTAAAACAAGGTTATTCATTATTTTCTAAGAGGATTAAAAAACCCTTCCAGTCACTGAACATTTTGCCCCTCCCCAAGAGTAACATTCCCTACAAGTTTTTATCAGTTAAAAAATCTACAATGATGATTTAGTGCTCTGCCTTTTAAATTCCTAGGATATCTGGGGGCATGGCTGGGGGATAGAGAAACCAAAGTAATACTGTATATCTTCCTGAAACATCAGTTTTTCATACTGAAACCAATAAGGGCTGATCATGGAACAGAATGCAAAAAAACAGAACCCATCTGATTTCATAAAACATCAAAGACATTATTCCCTGCACTGGCCTCCAGAAAGCAGGTTCTGGGGATAGAAGCATTCATCATTTTTAGGAGAAAGGTTAGCAAGCATTAGAAATGGATTTTTTCCATCTCTTCACATTGTTGTCAGTTCACCAGGGGTTTGGAATCACTTTTACACAGGGCTTTAAATATTTGGCCTACTTCCACATTGCTATTGCTTTCTGTTGTCTATGAAATTAAAAATAAATTATCACACACCACAAAAATGACTGTAACACGGCCTATTTCTGACTAGACACAGTGTCTGAGCTTTGAAACAGCATTCTTGAAAAGACTGAGCGCTCCCTGCTACAAAATCAGAAAGACATGTTATTGGAGTAACACAAGGTGCTAAAAGAAAACTTGTGAAAAGGAATTAACCAGAGTATAGAATTTCTCAGAAAATTAGCTTTGAAGAAGACTGTAAATTAACTTGAAGGAATATGCTTAACCTTCAGAGCTTTGTTCAAAGCTCCAGCCACTCAAAATCTAAGAAGTGAGGCTGCTATAAAACCCAGCCATTCTCTGGTTCATTCATCTTTCATTCTTTTCACAGCACTGATCACTGTCAGAAACTATGGCAATCACCTTTTCACCTTGTTTGATGTCCGTCTTCCTCCCCACCCCCATCCCAGACCCCAGGAGTAGAGTCTTTCGCATCTTCAGCACCTAGCCAAGCACCTGGCTGTTGTATAGAGACTGTAGAAGTGTGTGGTGCATTTCTACGTAAGTTTCAGTGCGGATCACTTTTCATCACACGCGTATTCGTCAAGAAATACTTAAGTCAAGGGTAGAGGACAGCGCATCTGACCTCTTTAAAACTTCAGGAACCTGTGCGCCGAGTAAATGCCCATCTGCACAGTAATCTGAAATTTCGTACACTGAAGGACAGGAAATTCTGCAGTTTAACAGAGCGCTGTGGCTGGCCGCGTTAGGGACGTTAAGGCCAATCTAAGGCCACGGGCAGCGGTGTCTCCCCACGCCTGGGCTCCCTCCCGCGTGAGGCACCGTGGGCGGCGGAGCGCACCGGGACCGCTGCACCATGGGCCGCGGTCTCTCTACGCCTCTCCGCGTCTCACTCGCATCCTTAGGGAGAAGCCGCCCCCTCCCCGGCGGGGTGGGCACGAGTCACATCCGTCGGACCCCAGGGGAGCGAACCCACCCAAGCCCCAGGGCGCGGGCGGGGTGGCGGTGGGGCCGGGTCCCCTGCTCACCGCTGCGAAGCCTGTTGCCGTCGCCGGCCTTGTTGAGGGCGCTGCTGGAGCAGCCCATCGCGGGCAAGAGGGCGCCCGGAGGGCGAGCGCGGCCACCGCCCTGGCTGGGGACCCTGAGCCGGGACCCCGCGCGAAACGCTCACGGGCAACAAGTTCCTTCAACTCGGAGCGGCCGGCTCCGGCGCTTGCAGAGCGCAAGCGCGCAGCGGTGCTCCGGGTGGGGGCGCGCACCGCTGGCGGGGGGGCGCGCTCCGCTGTGCTGGGGGGCGCGCACCACTGGATGGGAGGCGCGCTCCGCTGCGTTGGGGGCGCACACCGCTGGGTGGGGGCGCGCACCGCTGCGTTGGAGGGCGCGCACCGCTGGGTGGGGGCGCGCACCTGGAGAGGGAAGCGAGCCGCTGGTGGGGAGAAGGTGCCAGGGAGGGGACAGCGGAGACTCAGAAGAGGACAGAGACAAGAAAGGAGCCAGCTAGGCCGAAGGTGGAGAAGGTGGTAAAGGCAGAGAGGAAAGTTGCCTCGGAAGTAGGGATAAAGATGCTGAGTTTTGGGAGAAGGGGCGAAGGGCTTGGGAGGGCTCACGTCTGAGTCATCCCTAAATAGCTGGGGAGGGGAGGAGGCGATGGTGGCCAGTGGCTATTGATTGGTGACTGGATTTGTGATGACAGGCTTCTTACATAACTTCAGGGCTGTTAACACGAGGAAGTTGAACGTTGAGAAGATACTATTTAATCCGCTCTCTCTATTCAACTGTGGTCAAGTGTCCCACCCAGGACTTTGCTGTTCAGTCGCTCAGTCCTGTCAGACTCCTTGCGACCCTGTGGACTGCGGCACGCCGGGTTCCCTGTCCCCTGTCCGTCACTGCACCTTGCGTTTGGTTGACGCGTCCCTTTTTAGTTTGCTTCAAACAAACTAAAGCAAACTAGTTTTTCAGTCTTTGTCTATCATGACCTTGATTTTTTTTTTTCCAGAAAACAAGCCATTTATTTTGTAGGTGTCTCAGTTCCAGTTTGTCTGATGTTTCCTCATGATTGTTTTCGGTTTACTGCAGTTTTGACTAGAATACTGTTACGTTGTCTGTGGATTATATCAACTAGCCCATAATATCAATGTGCCCTATTATTGGTGCTGTTAACTTTGATCAGTTAGTTAAGGTAGTGTCTTCCAGGTTTCTCCACTGAAAAGTCACTATGTTACCCTTAATAATGTATGGGGGGCTTCCCTGGTGGCTCAGAGGGTAAAGCGTCTGCCTGCAATGCAGGAGACCCGGGTTTGATCCCTGGGTCAGGAAGATCCCCTGGAGAAGGAAATGGCACCCCACTCCAGTATTCTTGCCTGGAAAATCCCCTGGATGGAGAAGCCTAATAGGCTACAGTCCATGGTGTCGTTAAGAGTCAGACATGACTGAGCAACTTCACTTTCAATGTATGGGAAGAGAGTTTAACACTAAGTATCCTTTATCTCATCAAACTTTTACCTGCTACTTTTAGCATGCATTAATAGTCTTGCTTGGATCAATTACTACTCTGATTATTAAATGGTGAATTTTGTAATTTCCTAATTTCTCATTATGCTACTCTAAGGAAGCATTTCCCTTTCCCTCCACTTATTATTCATATATTTATAGCAATAAATACTCATTTATTTTTACATTATTCAAGGAGCTATGTTACCATCTGTGTTAATTTGCTATGGCTGCCTTAACAAAGTATCAGACTGTGTGCCTTAACAAAAATCTATTTCCTCCCAGTTCTGAGGCTGGAAGTCTGAATTAAAGTTATCAGCAGGGTTGGTTTCTTCTGAAGGCCTGTGTCCTTGGCAGGTAGATGGCAGTACATGGTCTTCCTGCCATTTGTTTCTGTGTCTTATAATCTGTGTTTCTTATAATAATCTTATAAGGACACCAGTCATATTAAACTGACATCATTTTGCCTTAATTACCTCTTTAAAGACAGTAGCTCCAAATACAGCCACATTACAAGGTATAGGAGGGTTAGGGCTTAAACATATGAACTGGGGGGAGGCCATGATTCAGCCCATAACATCATCTTTACTTATTTGATGCTCAAATTGCCTGAAATGTGTCATGTTTCCCTATATGGGTCATGGGGTACACAGCTATGGTCTTTAGCGTATGTTTAGAGGTTTTTCCCTCCTCTCTCCCTTCATTCCCATCTTCCCTTCTCCTCCCCCTCCTGGTCCCTTCCTTCTTTTCTCTTTCTCCATCTTCATCTCTGTCTCCCTTCTGCAGTGCAAGCCTCATTGATGCCTTGGCCACCTAACCATCAGTTCACAAATCCCTTCAAGGGAAGAAGAAACTGGGTATCTATGAGGAAATACATTTCACAACATTACAAATATGGATTGTGATTCTTCTCCTTACCTTCTGTCTAGGGTTACTGTGCCCTAAGGAAAGAGAAGTATTTTGAAAATGACTAATGATTTGGCCTGATTCCAAGTCAAAAACTTGGAAAGAGCATGATTACAGGATTGGTACCAGGAAGTTTAGGGGAGAGGAATGTGGAATAGGCCTAGATTTAGGAAATATTTGTGTGCTATATAAATGTTTTCAGAAGGCCCTATACTAGATTGGGCTGCCATAACAAAATACCATAAACTGGGTGGTTTAAACAAATGCTTATTTCTCACATTTCTGGAACTTAGGAAGTCTAAGACCAAAATGCTGGCCTATTCGATTTCTTTCCATCTTGTGGATTGCAGCCTTCTCACTGTGTCTTCATAAGAGGGGTTTTAGATCAGATTAGGGTCCCAACCTTATGACCCCATTTAACCTTAATTAGCTCCTAAAGACCCTAACTCCAGATTGAATCACAGTGGGGGTTAGGTTGAAATAGGACTTTGGCGTAGGGGTGCAAGTCAGCTCATAGCTGACTTCAGATGATTCATCCCATTTCAGATGAGTCTTTTTTTTTTAAAGTCACATTTAATTTTATTTAGATAATGAAAATTTTCAAAACTCCACTGTCACAAAAAGAAGTGCAGGAGACTTCCCTGCTGGTCCACTAGTTAAGACTCCAAACTTACACTGCAAGGGGTGTGAGCTCAGTCCCTGGTTAGGGAACTAATATCCCATATGCCCTGCAGCCAAAGAAAAAAAACAGAGAGAGAGATGTAATAACTCACAGATTAGTTAAACATAAATACATAACTTGAATATTAATGCTTTCATGCTAAACCAGGGTTTTAGTTCAGTTCAGTCACTCAGTTGTGTCCGACTCTTTGCCACCCCATGGACTGCAGCACGCCAGGCCTCCCTGTCCATCACCAACTCCCGGAGTTTACTCAAACTCATGTCTATTGAGTTGGTGATGCCATTCAACCATCTCATCCTCTGTCATCCCCTTCTCCTGCCTTCAGTCTTTCCCAGCATCAAGGTCTTTTCAAATGAGTCGGCTCTTCACATCAGGTGGCCAAAGTATTGGAGTAACGAGGGCTTGCTGAGCTTATTAAGTATTTTTTTAGGAGTGGACTTGGGTATCTTGCTTTTCCTCAGAGATAATTTGTTAGTCATGCCATTTCCTTCAGAGGAAGCATTTTATAATCAAGTGAACAATAATCTGAGCCACCCGGTGCCCTGTGTGTGTTAGGAAGTCTTTCTCATGAGCCATCCCAATGCCTGCTCAGTGGGCTCAGGGATAAAATGACAGGGATAGGAACCATGTATGGGCTCAAACCACTTAACATGGCTTACCTGACCGAGTGCCTAACTCAGCAGCAAGCGTGACCAACTGTAAGCCTCTGAAATGGTATGCTTCCTTTTTAAGATCTTCTTCATGGAAGAGTGATTAGACCTCTTTGGGGACAGTGGAGAACCATTATTGTAATAGATACTGGATTAGGTTTGCATTTCCTGCTCCTCATGCCTCTAATTGCATCATCAATTTAGGGGATGGTATCAAGACATCACACATCCATCAAGACATTATTTAGTACATCTTATCAAAAACTCACTTTATCATGAGACAAGTAATAGGTTAATTTCTATGTGATTTACTGGTCTTTCATTATATCTCATCATCCAGAAGAAGGCAAACCTATAGAATGATGGGATGGCACTCAGTTATGGCATAGTCAAGATAAAGCACTTTTGAAGGGGTATTTTCCTGTGGTTTGCTCTGAATTAATGACTGATAAATAGTGTTGCTTCCCCATAACCAGTATACGTAGATGGGGTCTTGTTCATTTGGTAGACTACAAAACACATTTCTGCTTAACTGAGCTAACTTGTTTTTATTGCTTACAAATAAGTATCTAGTCTGAGATAGAATGCCTACTATCTTCCCTCTCACAGACCACACTCATTCTTTTTTTTTTTTCCCATTTATTTTTATTAGTTAGAGGCTAATTACTTTACATCATTACAGTAGTTTTTGTCATACACTGAAATGAATTAGCCATGGATTTACATGTATTCCCCATCCCAGTCCCCCCTCCCACCTCCCTCTCCACCCGATCCCTCTGGGTCTTCCCAGTGCACCAGGCCCAAGCACTTGTCTCATGAACCCAACCTGGGCTGGTGATCTGTTTCACCCTAGATAATATACATGTTTCAATGCTGTTCTCTTGAAACATCCCACCCTTGCCTTCTCCCAGAGTCCACAAGTCTGTTCTATACATCTGAGTCTCTTTTTCTGTTTTGCATATAGGGTTATCGTTACCATCTTTCTATATTCCATATATATGTGTTAGTATACTGTAATAGACCACACTCATTCTTATTCCTTTAGTCTTTTCTTGATAATACCGAATCATAATTGATACTGTGATTTTAAAGGTGTTATATCTTGGAGGCATAGTTTATGAATCTTCTTACCTTCAAGGACTCCTTTTACCATTTTTCCTAGACACACTCATGTTTTGATGTTGTCACAAAATTGCATTTGTTCTCTTTTTCTCTGTTAAGTAATCAGTGACATTTTCTGATCAGCGTGATGTGGTATTACAGAATTAAGTTCTAGTTAAAAGCAAAAAAAAAAAAAAAAATTGATGTCTTAGCCTATACATTACAGTTTATTAAGGATAACAGTACATGGCAGACTT